TATTTCGGGTCATGCCATGTTATATTTTGCGTCATTGATTCGTATTAGACCAACTACATATTATCAATATTTACCTTTGCAACGAACATTTGGTTTAAAAACTTGATATTTCTCACATATGATTTTTTTATTGTGCTGTCCAAGTCCCATTTCACCTCACAACGTACTAAAATGAGTCATCAATGAAAACTTGAGATTATGTGGGATTTAATACATTATCTATTATTAAGTATCTTGAATCTTTAATGGGTAATTTATTTATTGCACATTTTGTAGATTGTAACTTTTCCAACTTTGGGAGGGGAAAAACAACATCCTATAAAACAAAATGAAATTTATTGGAATGAAACAACTTTGTCTTACTTTGATCTCCGCATCAATCATTGTAAGCAAGAGGTTAAAAAAAATTGTTCATTTGCAAAGAGTTGTAAATCAATTACTTGATATATTTGTTAACATAAGAAAAGTGACAAAATCATATATTCTAGTAGAAAATATTATAGCAAAAATTAATGTCCCTGAATGACAATCTGCTGTAGCAAATGAATCTCAAATATGCCAGAAGAGTGATCGACATATTGGTTCAAAATACTCTGTACCTTGAAAGAGAATAGTACAAGAAAAAATTCGACCAAAAATTTCGGAAGAAGTAATGTTAGAAAAAATTGATCAAACAAATATTGAAAATGTGAACCCTGAAGAATCACAAGTGTTCAAAAATAATGAGACTTCAATAAATTATATGTTATTTCATAAATTATGGGAACGATATAATTTTGTTATAAACAATACTTTCGCCTTTAACATGGCTCTTGATATTATATAACATGAGAATCTTGAACCACAGTCAATTAAAAATTGTCAAAATAGAAATGATTGACCAAAATGGAAAGAATTCATATAAGCGGAGTTAAATTCTTAAGAGAAACAAAAAGTGTTTAGACCTCTAGTTTGAGCACCTGAAAATGCAATCCCTATAGGATACAAATAGTTTTTTGTACGAAAATAATGAAATTACAATATACAAAGCTCGAATCGTAACTCAAGGTTTCTCACAAAGACCAAGTTACGAGGAAATATATTTTTCCGTAATGAACACTATCACTTTTATATTCTTAATTAGTTTGACTGTATCATAAAAGTTTGATATACGTCTTCTAGATATAGTAACTACTTAGTTGTACGATTCACTTGATAGTGACATATAATGAAAGTCCCCAAAGGACTTTAAGGTGACAGGAACAAACGATATATGCCCCAAAACCATGTCCTCAATTAAATTACAAAGATCATCATATAGATTGAAACAATTCGGATGCATGTGGCATAATCGCTTTAGCGAATATTTGTTAAAAGAGGGTTATTTTATAAAGAAAACAATTATTGAATTTACAATTGTGGCAATATATGTTAATGACTTAAATTTAATTGAAACTTCTGAAGAGCTAAACAAAACTGTATATTATTTGAAAAATGAATTTGAGATGAAAGATCTGGGAAAAACTAAATTCTAACTCGAGATACAAATTGAACATTTTTCAGTAAGATTATTTGTTTATAAATCTATTTATACAAAAAAGTCTTAAAGTGATTTTATATGGATAATGCACATTTATTAACGTCATCTATGATTGTTCGATCACTTGATGTGAAAGAAAATCCATTTCGTCCACTTGAGAATGAAGAAAATATTTTTGATCCTGAAGTATCATATCTTAGTGCAATTGGAGCATTAACTTATCTTGCGAATTATAATAGATCTAACTTATCTTTTTCTGTCTTCTTGCAAGATATAATTCTACACCAACTCACAGACGTTGGAATAGTGTTGAACATTTTTTTATAATCTAAAGGGCACTATTGATTTGTGATTATTTTATTATCAAAAGTCGAAATCTGATTTGATGGAATATGCAGATGCAGGTTATCTCTTTGACCGAAATAAAGCTAATTTACAAATAGAATATGTGTTTACACATGGAAGAACAATTATCATGGAAATCAGTGAAACAATTCTTGATAGCAGCATTGTCAAATCATTTTGAAATTAATGCAATACATGAAGCATGACGAGAATGTATATAATTGAGGAGCATGACCCATCATATTCAAGCATCACGTGGATTAACTTCAACTAAAGATAGTCCAATAATTTTATATGAAAATAATGCAGTTTGTATTGCACAACTCAAAAGATGTTATATTAAATGTGACAGGACAAAGCATATTTTCTTTAAAAAAAATAAAAATCTAATACTTGAGTTTCAAAAAAATGGCGACATCAATATTCAACAAATTCGCTCAAGTGACAATATAGTCGATTTATTCACAAAAGCACTGTTGACATCGACATTCAAGAAATTAGTTCACAAGATTGTAATGTGTTGACTGAAAGATTTTCAGTGATCAACATGAGAGGGAGTAGTTATACTCTTTTTCCTTTACATAGACTTTATCCCATTGGGTTTTCCTAACAATGTTTTAATGAGATAGCATTTGTTTTTAATACTCCAAAGTAACTGTACTAGTTTTCCTTCGTTTGATTTTTTTCCATTGATTTTTTGTCAAACGAGATTTTAACAAAACATATATTTTGTAATTTGTCATTCAAAGAGGAGTGTTGGTAAATTTATTATTGAATGACAATTGTACCCTTACATTCCTAAAAATTATTACCGTTGTATCACTGATTCTTAAGTATAAATATAGGGTTTTTGTTCTTAATAAAACACACAAAAATTTATTGACTTTCATTCTCTCTCTCTCTCTCTCTCTCTCTCTTTTCATAACATAAAGACCATTTTGTACCTTTTTAAATTGGTCAAATTTTAATCAATGTGTGATTTATGGTTCAATTAACGAGTTTGTTTCTACCGAATCGAGATCTCGCACTAGATATAAATTTAAAAGTTTGAGACTTTAGAGACATAAATTTTGGATCTTTTGAGACCTTAAAATTGTCCTCCTTAAATTAAGTAGGTACATTCCTTACAAGCCTTTAATGGCCAGTTTGGACGACAATGGACAACGACCACTCTTTTAAAGGAAAACATTCAGTTAGGGTAACCAATATAAAATTCAAGTATGAATACAATAAAGACGAAAAATGCAAAAAAGTCGATGGAATTTAGGTTCCTTTCCAAAACTATTTTAGTTCATATAATTTAAAAAATGATCCTTTAGTAAAAAGTTATAAAAAGTAGCTATATGTCAAATTGTGGGGAAATTTTCTCCAATTTCCTAATTGGAGAATGAGTAGACGTGGAACTTTTTGTTTCGACTTTCATTTTGATGAACAACATCTTGAGTTGAGCGTCTTGATAATGAATGATGTTCTTATGTTACTAGAATTGCGGATTCAGATATTCTTTAAGCGATTAAACTCCCAATATCTCGATGCATATCAAAAATAAAGAGCTTATTGTTTTGTACGAGGAAAAAACATTAATTTTCCATCGTATCTGGTGGTGTTTTTGTGTTTTGATCTTATAATTCTATAACATTATTGTGATTAGATATTCTCAATTGCCACAAATGCTACACTAGCCTCGTTATGTAGTATCTAAGCAATCACTACTAGGTGGAATTGAACTATAGTATAAATAAAATTTAACCTTTTTTTTCTTATTTAACGAAGTCTGTCTAATCACATCGAATACTATCCACCAAACATGCACTTAAAAAGAGCAAAGTTGGGACTTGAATCTCCTACAAAATAGAGGGAAAATATAAGTTTTCAAGAATAAAAAAGCAAGTGATTCGTCGGTTGTGGCAATTCTGATTATTTTTTTTATGCTTTCACTATTCAATACGTAAAAAGAAATGTACATTGACAGAGACTTCCAAAGCCATTTCTGCTGCTTGCACAAGAAAATGTCAAGTGGTGACCTACAAACATCCCTGCGTCATCAGAATTCCGAAACATGAAATAAACTGGAACCTGAACAAAAATCGAAAAATATATTATCATTTACAAAGAAGACAATTATCAATCAAATTCAGAGGGCCTCCATGAGTTTTATATATGTTTGATCATTGAAGATTATCTTGGTCCGGATAACTCATCTGGTAGGACATTGGAAGTCGAGACAGGATTTGCCCAGCCAGTATTCGGGTGGTAGATGGGATTTAACTCTTGTCGTAAAATTTCTTCCTTCTGCCACTCATCCCACTTCTCAGCCAAGCCATCGCCTTCAAGCATCCTGACAACATCCGACATCTTGGGACGCTCCGTAGGATAACTTTGTGTGCAAAGCAAAGCCATTTGAATTAGCTGCTCCACCTCTTCCTCAATATAATTGCCCTGGAGGTCTGCATCGACTAAAGTTTCCAACTTTTTCTGCTTCAGAAGTTCCTTGACCTGAAATCAAAGTCCAAAGTAAATGAAATAATAAGTCCAATAGGGAAAGCATGCAAAAACACAAGTGCACATTTTGTTTGGCAGTATTAAACAAGATTCAACAATATTATGAATAATATTTAAGCGTCTTTTCTTCCTTGATAATGTCCAATCCTGTATAGGCCATAAAGGACTAGGGATGGATTTTAGGTACGCAATAATGGAGCAATGTAATTTTTATCATCTATATCAAGGTTCGAAGTTAAAGACTACACAAGAATCTCTTATTATCTAATTGAAGGATGTGCAAAAGGGGAAAATGATAGTGCTCACCCAATCCAGTAACATCACATCATCGTCATTAGCAAGACGAGCCAGATCGAAAGCTCTCTGCCCAGTAATGAGCTCAAGAAGCATGACTCCATATCCAAAAACATCAGTTTTCTCGGAAGATTTACCGGTGGAGAGGTACTCGGGAGCTATATGACCAATTGTGCCACGTACAGCCGTGGTAACATGAGTATCCTTGTAGTCCATGAGTTTGGCCAGCCCAAAGTCACCAACAACTGCTTCAAAGTCTTCATCCAACAATATGTTTGCAGCTTTGACATCACGGTGAATAATCTTAGGATCACAATGATCATGCAAGTAAGCAAGCCCCCTTGCAGCTCCCAATGCTATACGCCTTCTAATTGTCCAATCAAGTGGAGGCTGTGATTCAGATCGTTCTATAATAATCCATTAATAAGCTATTAGAACATAAATAACAATATAAAATTAGAAGTAGAGCCTTTCCAGATACTACACTGTCAAATATCAACATGGAAAGTTCACGTTCAGCCACATTATTAGCTCCATATCACATAATGTGATATTAATTAAAAAATTTTGATTAAAACACAACCACATTTGCCGTGACTCTAATGGACGACTTTTTGCCATCCACCAACACCAATATCATTATCAAACCAAAGACATCTAAATGTCTTTTTTACTAAATCATCATGATAACTGGTCTTTCCTTCCATGCGTGCTCTCTCTCTCTCTCTCTCTTTCACACACACACACACATCTGCTTGTCAGCTTGGTTGATGTTAATCATTGTGATATGATATAAACGGGAAAGGGTTGATGGTGGCAAAAGCAGAAGAAAATTCATATTGATAAGAAGAAAATTCAAACGGAACAAAAGGAAATTAACTTGGACTGAGAGAAAAAGAAAAAAAGAACAAGTAATGAATGCGAGGTGTGTGCCCAAGATTAGTACCCTTTCCATATCAACAATATTGGTCAAAACAAAGAGACATCTTATTAGTTGAAATTTGTTGCAAGTGTGAAAGGGAATTGAGACTTTGGATTCACCCCTTTGCTGCATATTACGCCAAAGGAAGTGATCACTAGCATAGCTTAAATTATAACTTAAGCTGGTCAAAATACTTTTTATCCACATTTTGTAGGATTCACAGCTTGTAAGCACTACATACACCACAATGAATTAACTTTAATTAAATTTTAGTTAGCATCTCATGTAAAGAATTTCTTAGTACTCTAGATCAAGGTCTCAATATTACATTATTTTCCAGATTAAGGTTAGAGTATTATTTCCACTTTCAAATCTCTGTAGTCCTCATAAATCAAATTGTGTTTCTACAAATGTCATGCTTATAAATATTTCATTGCTTAAACTAAAGAACATACTCTTGAACTGTAACATTATTATCAGCAAGCAACATTTATGCACAGAACATGTATATGTGACTCAGTCAAATAAAGAACATACAAAAATGATAAAAAGCTGTACCTCTTAAGCATGATGCTACACTTCCATTAGCCATGTAGGGGTAAACAAGCAATCGTTCTGTAGGTGTCATGCAAAAGCCACGTAACCGAAGTAAATTTCGATGCACAGCCATGCTGATCATTTCTACTTCAGTTTGAAACTGAAGCTCTCCACCTTGTGTACGTTCTTCTTTTAATCTTTTAACTGCTACAAGACGACCATCAGCCAACCGGCCTTTATAAACTTTGCCAAATCCACCCCTGCCAAGAACATTTTTGTTGCTAAAATTATCCGTTGCAACTTGGAGTTCACGTAAAGAAAATCTTTTGAGCTGCCCTAGATGGACTTCTGGATCCTCCTCAGCTGCCAATGAATAGAAGATAATTATGAACACATTGTACACGATAGTCATGATAAACTAAAGCCTTCTTTAGGTCCACTAACCAGGAACATCAAAGAAATGAAGAGGTTGCTTCCTTCGTCGATACCAAGCAAGCGCTATTGCAGGACCAGCAAAGAGAAGAGCCGCTCCAGCAGCAACTCCTCCTGCAATGGCCCCAGTTGCACTGTTGCCAACTGCAGCAGTAATCAAGTGAGAAGTCTGTGCAACTCAAACTACTAATTAAATGGTGAAGTGTTATATATATAAAAAGAAACTCAAACTACTAATTAAATGGTGAAGTATATATATATATATATATATATATCTTGACCTTATCAGTCCCAGAGTCCAAAAAAATTTTCAACGCATACAAAATAAAAAAAAAAATGTGATGAGCCATTTGATGAGCATAAAAATATGATAAAATTCTATGGTTCGAAAAATAGGAGAACAAAATTATTATATATATGGTCCGGAGATCACATTAAATGGAAATACAAAAAGTAGTCAGTAACCATTTTATATATTCCCGCTAGTTAATGAGAGAGCATTTCCAACTTCTAATCTCTCTTATGCTCATATTCACTAGGTCATACGAGCAAGGCTTATCTTCTTAATATGCTATTGCCATGAGCTGGGCAAGGAAAAGAAATTATTCTGGAAAAAAGGACATAATATAAATAATTAACGAACCTCGCGATGAAGATGGGTTTTTCGGTTGAAGTGGAGGTGATGGAGATACGGGAGCAGGTAACAGGTTAGGATTATTTTTGAAACTGGAAGATAGGAACTCAACAGTCAGTACAAGACCTCGATGAGTGACTTAGTCTAACATGGAGAAGACAGAAGTAATTGCACTGAACCTGATAGGTGTGAAAAGTTGAAAGGAGCCATTGATTGGAGTTGGCCCTGATAAATTGTTATTTGACAGATCACTGTATTTATACATGAAAATGATTATGTCTGCCAAAAAAAAGAAGCAAAGAAAACCACCAGTGATAAAAGAAAATCTATTAATCCTCTACTTACAGGACTTGAAGTGTAGCGACATTGGTCAGAGGCATAGGAATAGTTCCAGTCAAAGTGTTATTGTTGAGCCTCCTATGTAGTCAATAAACACACACAATTAGGTTTTGAAGAATCTGAGCAATTAATTACATAAAAAAAAGGTTTATCCAAAGTAATCTGAAAGTTTCTCAATAATTAGTAATGAACCTAATCAGAGGGAGTTGATGCACTAATACCTTCTTCATATATAGTTTGTCTATTGGGCATTAATATTGTAGGAGCTGAAAGATTCAAGCATTGTCCAATTTTTCACTTGGTAAATTGTAGGGGGCATGATAATTGTAGCAATTCTCAAGAGACAGAGAACAAAATTATTTTCAAACAAGAGAAAAATATAGGAAAAACAATTAAGAATTCTACACAATGTTCATACTGAGGCTTTCATAAACAACTATCTAGGCCCAATTTATCACTTTTCTCTAAATGGCAAAAACTTCAATTAAAGAAAAGGAAAGAGACCAAAAAAATATATTTTTATAAGAAACCAAAAGGCCGTATCACGTACAGGAAACGTAATCTCTGAAGCTGGCCCAGGGTCGTGGGGATGGGACCACTTAAATTGTTCACGTAAAGATCCAAGCTCACCAAGTTTGTTAAGTTCCCAAGATCATTTGGAATTCTTCCACTTATGTTGTTACTGTAAAGTTCCCTGCCATATACATATCAAAAAAAATAAAAAATAAAAAGGAGACATACACAAAGGTTAAGATGATAATATGTAAATTAAGCCCTTGTTTGAGCCCCTTTTTTGGGGTAAAAAGAATTTGGAATAGTGATTTTTTTGGAGAAAATGAGTTTTGGAAAAATAGGGCTCAAAAAAGGGCTAAATATCACCAATGAAAAGAGCAGTTTGCAAAAATTATTGGTGCAGAGAAATAGACATGTATTTAAGGTCTCTCAAATGTCTAATATGTGATATTCAGACAGCAGATCAATGAATAAAATACTTTAACAGCATTGCAGTTTACAAAAACAAATAAACTTCTAAATATATAATTAAAGCAATGTTATCACTTGTCCTTTGCATCATCATTTGAGGAAAGGGAAAAACGCTGGAAATTAACCCTTTTTTGCCCTTTTTTTTCAGTAATACGGTGATTAAGGAATGTAAAACGTCAGTGAAGGGAAAAAAATATGATCTTTGAGTAAACGAATTAAAAACAAACCAAATATTAATAGCTTTCAAAATATTGAACATATAATTTTCCACGGAACCTCACAGTACAGTCGGCATCTAAATAGGATATTGATATGTCCTTTTGAGGGAAATTTTGGAACAATGAACAAGATGTGTCCTCAACAGTTCATATTCTGCTTTTGGACCATCAACAGAAAATATAAGAAATATTCAAAGATTTCATCGCTCATCTGTAGGTCGAAAAATATTTAATGTGAATCCCTAGTAAGGTGATACAGATAAGAGTGTAAACAAATCAACAAGAAAGTAGTGGGAAAATGCGAATGACGTGATTATGTTTTGCATGACTTACAAGTACTGCAAATTCGGGAGTGAACCAAGCTGCGGAACAAGTTGACCGGACAAATTTGCATTTCCGAGATCACTGAGCACACACAAAAATAATTTCCATAATTGGAGGATCGTGTTAATACTAAAATGCAACTCGTGTAGCTAATTATGGAAAGGACAAAGCAGTCTCACACTCTAGTAACACTATTGTCATTACTGCATGTAACATGAAACCAAGTGCAAGGATTGACAAGTGTAGAATCCCAGCTCTGAAGAACGTTGTTAGGATCTGCCAAGTTTGTCTTAAAAGCATTCAAGGCATCGCCTGTCGCACACAAATCAATTAGCAATTATCGAGGATCATTTACTTTACAAATTTAAGTTAAGCTACTACCGAACAAATCTACACATTTATTTGCAAAGCCAACAAAATATGAGTGCCACATAAATGTTTTTTCTTCATTGCTACATTGGTCAAGTCAAGTCAACAGTTAAACTTTCCTGTGAACAGAACAAAAAAGGAGAAAATTTTCCAAAGTTACAGCTAATATAAAACGGTTAGCTTCAAAATAAATCCTAACGAATCCCCCAGCTTTGTAAACAGAAACTTAATGGGTCTATAGTCTGTGATTTTAGTTTATAATAAACAAGAAACATGCTTGAAACACATCAATTACAATACAGTCAAACTCAGCTCAAGTAAAAACGCAATTGAAGCATAAAAATCACTTCAGTTGAAATACAAAACAGAAGAACAGACCTTCAGCGTTGGCAGAAACCAGTGAAATTTGCGAAATCCCGAAAATTAAGAAGAGAAACCCCAAGATTGTGATCGTAAATACCGACCGCTCCATTATCATTTCACCTCAACCTATCACTTAAAAGCCTAGATTCTCCATTAAAAACCTATATGTTTCACCACTACTCTACTAAACTAATGCTAAACAACCACCGACCACCTAAAAACCTACAGAAAAAGTCAATCTTAGCCACAATAACTCGAAACCCTAATCCAAAACTCGATCTCAAATCAATCTGAAGAAGTTAAAATCACGAGTCAAAGAAATAGTAATTCCTTAGCAGAAGGGGGAAAATGGACATTAAAACAATAATTATGTCAATTATTTGCGGAAATTGAGCATGCAAGTGGAGAATTAAAGAGGGATTTTTCTGGTAATATTGATTTGTTCGAGTATATACCCTATTATTATTGACGGGTTGAGTGTTCAACGGTTAGTGAAATGGAATCGTGTGAAGTCGTTGCAGAGGAAGAGACGCTTAGTCAAAAATCTCTCTCTCCCTATCTCTCTACTTTACTTTCTCTACGTAGAGCCCATATTGAATTGAGACCAACTGGAATTTATGTGTTCTTTAGGCCCTGTTTGTTACACATCAATGTAAAAATAAGAATGAAAAATATAGTCATTACGAACTCCACACAAGAAATAGAAAGTCAAATATAATAGCTTGATGTGATGGATAACGATCATATTTTTCATTTCAATTGATATATAATGAGAAACAAACTGGGGCTTCTTAATGGCAACCAGTTCAGACTTGTATGCCTATGCTCGGATACAGACATTTTTGGCTCATCTTGAAAGTTGGTTAAACTTATTTTTAAGAAACATTTTCATATTTCCTCTTTTTTTTCTCTCTTTTTTTTTTATTTACAGAAATAAATAGCATCGGCTTAAATTACTTATCTAGCCAAACAATTCTATTCCGGAGCATGTCTTATTTACCTCATTTCGAATGAAAGATCATTTGAAAGTTGTGAACGAGACAATCAATTCTTATATCCAACTAAGCTCTCGTTTGGACTTCACTTTAATGAGATTTTGGGAAAAATGTATTTTGAAATAATAATTTTTGAAGAATGTATGGTCAACAAGTAGGAATAAATTTTAGATTTACTTGTAATAATAAAGAATGCGCGGTTCAAAATAATTTTTTTTTTAAATATATTTTTTTAATTTAACAAAGCGCAAACACGGGTAAGTAAATAAGTAATAGCTCTTCAGCAGCATGGATTTGTGGATTATGATTAGCTTGCATGGCATTAATGCTCTATGACTCCATCAATATCCTACTTTTATGATCTTCAACAATGTCTACGTCGGAGTGTTTGTCTAGTTGGCATAATATCTCGAGAAAATCTCCATATGAAGAATTTCGCTATACGAATTTTCGAACTCCAAAAAATTCCACCAACCCCTTAATTGGTGTGAGTTTGATTGAAAGACCATATTGTTAATAGAGACCGTTGACTCGACTTGATAACGTAACGTTCCTTCCTTCAATTTAGCACATGGGAAAATTACGTACATCAGAAAGCTTGCGAGGCATGGCGAGAATCAATTCACGATCATCTGATGAGATCACGTCCCTCTATACATCTATATTCCAACATCTTCTGATAATATCAAACTGGACAAGCTAAATATTTCTGTAATGGGGAAGAAAGAATGCAATCGAGGGATCACCTTTTATACTTCTAATATATTGAAATGTTATTACTTTTTTTTATTTATAATTTAGACTTTAATTTTTTAGTTAAATATGAGTTATTCGTAACTATAATTAATAAAAAGTTATTTATTTTAAAAGTTACTTAAATAATAAATTAGCTACGAATAAAATATAAGAGTTTAATACAATGTTACCTTATATTAAGACAAGTAATAGATGCCATGTCATATGTGAACGACAATGTTTTTATCGGGTTTATACTTCTAATGGACACGGTATATTTTCACGACTCCACAATGAAAACTTAAAGAGGAAATTTCACAGGATGACCATTTTTACCTAATCATTTGCAAAAATGTTCACTATTACAAAAATATTTTTTTTGGAAAAATTTAGACCAAAATACCCTTATTAACAATTTATAATTTCACACTGAGACAAAAAAAAATGGATATTTTTGCAAAATTGTTATTGGCCAATAAAATTTTGACACATAACCTGCCATATTTATTTCAAAAGTATACATGTCAAATCACAATAAATGCTATATTTTTTATTGACTCGAAAATGTCGAGAACTATATTTCAAATGTAGAGAAATGTTATATTCAAAATGAAATGTCATTCTAGACAAATGAAACGATGTTCAAATGTCAAGAATGACATATAAAATGTCGAGAAACATTATTTTAATGTAACTTCTCATGAAAGATGCTTCTTGAAATTTGTGACAAATTGAAAAAAATCAAATGTCGAGAACGATATTCAATTGCTCCATTTTTTTCATTAAGGGTATAATAGACAAGTTGACACTAAATTCAAATGAGTGGACACTTTTCAACTCAAACCCTTAAAATTGGACATTCTTGAAAATGCCTCAAACATAAATCATCTTATAATGCTTGCTTCGACTATTAGAATATATTTTTATATTTAAATGTCCATCTTTGATAACCATTATTTCCAAATTATTTTTTCTACATATTTATTATTAATCAGACATTCATAAAATAAAATATTCCAAAAAAAAAATCTACTTTTTAACCACGAATTCTAAAAAAAAAAATCACTATTCAAAAATCAATTTTACCCAAATAATGGCTGTAAACAGAGGCATAGATTTATACAATGATCTTTCGTATCATTAACAGATTCAAAAATTTTCTATTGTTCTTGAGCTTTAGCCTATGTTTGTTTACGACCTTTTTTTTTTTTTTAAATCATTTTCAATCACACATTCTTATGATAAAATATTTTACATGTAAATTAAAACCATTTTTCCTACCTTTTAATGACAATTTCATTATTTCAAAAAGCATTACCCTCCCCCCCTCCCCATAAAAAAAAATAAATAAATAAAAAGTCACACACACACAAAACCCTCTTTTTAATGGGCATCAAATAGAAATTTAGGATCCGTTTGAATGCAAAGATGAAATTTGGGTGAAAAGCAAACGAATTTCAAGGAATCAAATTGTCTAGAAATTGTTTTATTGGGAATTGTCAATTATTGCAGTTGATTGTATAATTTTTCACATGAAAAATGTTGAAATAAAAGTGTTTTTGGTATTTGTTTCACTTTGTTTTACATTAAAACTGTCAATTAAAGATATCGAATTTACTGGTATTAGGGATAGACTGTTTCCATTGCCAGAAAAAAAAGCTCCAAAAATCATTTATGTTTTGTTATTCGTTTAGTTTTGTTTTACATTGAAATTGCCAGAAATTTAAGCAAAAAAAAGTGAAAAACATAAAACTACCTACCCCATGGGAAAATGAATTCCCCAAAAACAAGGAATTGGTGCACATGTGAAACAAAGGTGGAAAACCAATTGCCTAAAAAATTTGGCTATCAAACAAGTCAAAAGTGGGAAATGGAATTTATTTTCCATTTCCCATGAAAAATTGTGTTATTAGACATGGCCCTAGTGTTTTAGATGTTTGAAAAGTTTTTGAATAGAATGTAGAGAAACAAGTCAAACCTTCGTTTCCGTAGATCTTACCTTCCATTTCTATATTCAGTTAATTAAGGTCAAAAAAAAATTTAGAAAATGATTCGGTCCAATACAAAAATTAAAGAAATGACCCTCTAGGTCGTCGCCAAAAGGTTGTACAATCGAGTTACTTCGAAACCTCAACTTCGGCACTTAATGCTAAGGCAATTAAAGAATAAGAAAGCGGTAAGTCAATAGCATTTGAAACACTTAAAGGCATTGTTTACTATTCTGACTGAACATAAGCATAAAAATGACTTCTAAAAAAGTGTAACTCTTGCTAGGTGGGGATTAAAATTAGATTTTTAGTAGATTTTAATAAAAAATTATGAAACATGTTATTGAAAAGTTGTATGACCCATAAAATACGTGGATAAAATTAAAAGCATGTTTGGTAGAGGTTTTAATCCAATTAACATTAATTTTTTACTGTTATTTCACTATTCTAGCCGTCATTTTGGAATTCTTCTCTCACAGGTAGGACTCACTTTATCTCTCTAACGGCGAAAAAATTAATTAACAAAATCCCTACCAAACAAACACTAAATATTAAATTTGACTAATTTGAATTTCAATTGCTACCAAACAGGAGTTTGAATAATGTGTGGTTGAAGATTTTGTTTGATAGAGATTTTGATAATTGATTTTTTAACCATTAGTGATAAAGTGGGTCGCACCTATGAAAGAATAATTCAAAAATGACGACTGTAATAATGAAATAACAATCAAAAAAATTAATTTTAATTAACTTTTAATTCGTAACAAACAAGCACATAATTTCAAAGGAAGGTTTCTTTCATGGGAAACTTCATATACACAAGGAAAATCTTAATATAAATTTAATTTTATGTATAGTTGTTCTACAAAGCTTATGTTTGGTTCACTTTTAGCCCTTGTCTATTTCCAATCTTTTGCCCGCAATAATGCATTTTTTTATCTTTCTTTTGCCAGTACATGGGGTCCATTGTGAGATAAAAAATCAAAAATTGCGGCTGATAATTTTGTAACAGTTTAAAAATGAATTTAAATTAGACAAAAAATTGGAAACAAACAAAGACTTATAATGAGTTTATAAATACTGAAGTTGCTTTCTTTCATACATTTCAAGAGATTTACAAGTATTATTCATTTATCCAACTATCATTTTTATTTATTTATAATATTTAAATCCTTACTATATAAAAAGGGGAATGTGAGGGTACTGTAAAAAGCAACAGTGTTTTGATCCATCTTTACTGTAGCATTTTTGTTTTTTTTTTCAATTGGGGGCCAAAAACGACGCCGTTTGCTTAATAAATATTTTATTTTATTATACACTACCTCCAAATTTACTGCAACATGCAATTTACATTCCTCCCCTACTCCGATATAGATATATATAGTAGGGATATAAGAAAAAAATAACTTTTATATAAAAAAAAAAAAAAAAGATAGAGATAGTATGCGACAGAAATTTTTTTACAACATATTAGTTGTAAGTAAAAAATTTGAGGAGAAATGAATTAAAGAAAATTTTAAATTGAAAAAAAAAATTATAACGTAAAACTACACAGCATAAAAAAAATTAATCTCGGAGACACTCCATGCACGGAGGAAAGCACGGAGACCAAAAGAAAGAGAAATTTTATTTTTATTTTTATTTTTTTACTTATGTTTTTGTGTTCATTTTCAGGCTCATTACGGGATATCAAACGAAGTCGAAATATTACATTCTTAATATCGTTTTGAAGTGCTCGCGGCATAGTATTGCACGTCGTTAACGGTGCGTGAAACGGTCAATCATAGCAAATGTTATGAGACGTCAAAGTAGGCATTTTCAAACTATATTTCGAAATTT